ACCCATATTTTTTGGCACACCCCTCCCCCAAATCCCACCAGCCCTCCCCCATCTCATGTATGCATAAAAAGTGTACGTTCCCTAGCCTGCTCAGATGGAAGGAAATAAGGATGAGTATGAGTAAGGATGAGTAAGTATGGAATGGGTGTCAGTGTGCGCAGTTGCATTCTTCATATGTACGAGTGATAATATTTTTAATTCTGTAAATATTATATTGCTGACTGTCTCAACGTTTGGTACAATCTTGAGTCCACAGTCTCTCTGGCTGACCGAGCCGGAGAGATTGCATTTGGTATGGAAGTGGTGGATTTCTAAAATTATCCTGTTTATGTAAGTGGCACTTCCATGGCCAGCGGGTCTGCACCTGCGAGCAGCAGGTCACTGAGCGAGATAAAACAACTAAAATATCGGTGTTTCAAACGGATCCGTGGACTACGTGGCACAGTGTGGATCGGTTCAAATAAAATTGTCTCAAAAAGTCTCATCTTGTACTGAAACAATGTAGAGCTATTGAGTCAAATACACCATAATAACAAAGACATGAAGTACTTAGCGGTCTTCCCAGGCCTCCGCTGAGGATTCTATATTCTTGTCATAAATATTCAATTTCCAAATCACATTTACACGAAGTGTTGCCGCTAGCAACCCGCGGACGGCATAATGGCGCTAGTAAACTATTCAATCACACGGTTTTGAATAGCCACTTTTTGTGGCAACAAATGTGAAGATACCATTGATGCCATGACGATACAAGTGGAATTGGATCAACTTCTGAATCTTGCTCTAGGTACTCCTGAACGGGGAGCTGTGAACTTTAATATACTTCATGGAGTACTGCGAGAGATTCTTAATCATCTAGGAATTGAAAAGAAGGCCAAGGATATTGGTGACGATGGGAATTTTAGAGCAGCGTATGCACTGCTCAAGAGCAAACAGGATAGTTCTCAAGGAGTTGAAAATGATGGCGATGTCGAACGTTTTCCTGCGGAGAGAGTCACGAGTGATAAAATACCTTTCTCTGCTGCCTCATTTTCTGAACCAGTTCATGGTAATTTGGAATCTAAGGTAGCGAATATCGAGAAAAGGTTGGACATATTAGACGATTTGCCTAGTAACAGCGAAATACTCCAACGTGCCAAGCAAAAAAAGGATGGCAGAACCCCTGTTGGTGATATGTGGCAATTCATAAACATAAATCGACGACTTGGTGCTACGGAAACGGGCATTGAGAAGGTATGTAGCACGTTATTTTTACTCTATGAAATTTAAATTTAAACTGCAATTAACCACTTCTTAAGATTAAGCGCCTTTGTCAAGCAATTTTCTTAAATTTTTCTATATGATTCATGGCGGGATTTTTTAAAAATGTCTCAGAAACAGATTGGGTTGTCCAAACATCATTAGCTTACATGTACAGTTGTGTATCACGTCTACTCGATCGATACACATCAGAGAAAGGAACTGTTTACATAGGAAATTATGCTGTATGAACGGGGGAAATTGAATAGATCCTTGTGTCATGCCACATGAAAGCTAATAAGACCCAATAAGAACGCTAACTTATATAATTTCTAATATTTAGGTCGATGGAAGTCGGGACATGTAACGCTTTCCCCTAGAGATCTATATCCCTATCTCCCGTGGATGATGTTTTGGTATAAACGTAAAGTACTTTATATGCATGCTAACATGCATTACCGGTAGTATCACCCAACTAGTGGACTAATGCAAATCCTGCATTTTGATTGGCTGCGCCACTAGAGGACTATTAGTAAT